AAAAAAGAAACAGAACAAAATATTTTTACAGATTACTTTTCTACACAATGGGAATAGCATACTGATGACACTGAAATATTTAATTTTGAAAAATAGTCTCTGATAACAGTACTTTTAAGAAGACAACGAACTATGGTTCCAAACAGTACACAGAATTCATTTCCCTTGCATATTAAGTAAGAATTTACACTAAACTTCTTTCATGTCATGTAATCATTCTTACTCCTTAGTATCTAACACTACTGGCAATAAGTTGATTATCACCATTGGTGTCTCCATTTATTCATAAATATTTTATTTATATTATAGTTGAGGCCAGGCAGTGGTGGAGCATGCCTTTAATCCCAGCACTCAGGAGGCAGAGTCAGGTGGATCTCTGTGAGTTCGAGGCCAGCCTGGGCTACCAAGTGAGCCCCAGGAAAGTGCAAATCTAAGCACAGAAACCCTGTCTTGAAAAACCAAAAAAAAAAAAAAAAGATTATAGTTGAATTACACTCTGTTCTTTATTTCCATAGACTGTAAGATTCCCTATAAACATCACAGTAAACAGCTAACTAAAGAATTTATTTTGTATGACTCTGGCATTGTGCTAACAATTACAGGCCAAAATTCCATTCTGATTTTTACCAATGCCTGGAATTAAAACAATTCTTAATAATAATTTTTCTTGTGTATATGTCAATAATTATACAACTCCTCTAGAATCAAGGGTAGCAGGAATCATGCAGATAAAAGAAAAAGTAGGACTTTGGAAAGTATTTTGTCTGAAGTCACCTGTTATAATAGTCTACCATAATATAAATATCTTAAGTAAGTATATGAGAGACCAATTTGATTCAGTAGTATAGAAATGATTAGAAGCATTAACCACTGAGATTATTGGCATCGATGTAATATGAGTATATTTTGGACAACTCCTGAGCCCTGTAAACCTACTTTTCTCATAGGCAGGGAAAGCAATCAAATAGAACAGTTCAAACAACTAGAACAAACAGTAGAACATAAATGTAAAATGAAATATGCTCATTTTGAACAGTCAAAATTATTAAGACCCAATTTGTTTTATTAGACAAAGTAGAATTCAGTAGCTGAAATTGTATTTTCAGGTAATACTTAAATATTTTGAAGTCATTTACATATATTACTACTAATAAAAATACACTGTAGTATGCCTCCCTTGTGAAAAAAAGCACAAGTATCTATCAACACAGCTGTATGTCACTTAGTTTAAGGTGATATCTAATGATGTTTTCCTAGACTGAAGACCTTCTCAAAACAATGATCAATATTTCCCATGCTTGGGAAGAACCGCTGAAACACCTGGTTTCTGCAGTGCCCACCCTCCCTGGAGCTTCTGATAAAATGCTGAAAACAGCCAATGCTGTGAAGGACAAAACCCATGTGCTTCTGGAAGGAATGAAGACCATCCTCAGTAGGGTAAGCTGTTTCAACATGCGTCTTTGTTCATCCTATGTATAAAGTTTGTGAATTGTGTAACTCAACAAGAATTGTGAAATACCCAAATACAAGGTCACTTAATAAGCTCTTAGAACAATGATCTCTGTAGAAAATAGTTCTGTGCCTCATAGTCATTTTGACAGTGGCTTTCCTGGATGGGGTGGACACTACAGCCTAATATGCAGAAGATCATATAACAGTCATTGCCTGGATTGCCTGCACACAATACATTAAGTGAAATATACTGCTCATGTTCAAGGATTCAATAGAGTGTATACAATGTAGAATGGATTTATCTGAAATGAAGGAAAGGATCAGGACACTCTACCAGAACTAATATGGTATGAAGTACACATCAGGGAAAGTCCTGGGTACATGTAACACTCCCCAAAGTGAAAGTACTGATACTAGCCTTTCATTGTCTTTTAGTTAATTCCATATTTACATTCAAATAGTGCCTCCTGGTTCACTATCTGTCTGCTTGTGTATGGATCTGTCTTATCTAATATCAATGGCATGTCAGAAAATACATATGCCTGTCTCCAAATTATGTTTTGATGTCTAATGCCTTTACCCCAATTTCTAGGATTTCTCATTATAAATTTATAGTCCTCAGTGTTTTATAAAAATTAATTAACAATTTATACAGAACATGCACTGGAAGATGTCTCGTGTCTGTAAGTGCCTTCCTTCCATGTGTGAGGACCTGAGTCCAGTTCCAGGATTTGTGTCAAATGGGTGATGTGGTGTCTTCCCTTTGTAGCCCTTGGACTAGTGACTCAGACTTAAAGAGATTAGCCATGAGTTGCAGGTAAAAGTAAGAGCAGATTTCTCAAAAATCAAAGTAGGCTTCACTGGAGGAACTTTACCCAAAATTGACCACTGACCTGGAATCATGTTTATTACAGAGAGAGAGAGAGAGAGAGAGAGAGAGACCGAGACCTATGAGGGGTTAATGTGACTAACATCTGTCCATTTGATGTTTAGAGCCATCATGAAGTTGAAAAAGATTCGTACCCTGTCTGGTCTGGACTGGCAGACTTGCAATCATCTGATGAAGACACTCACCTTTTTGCCTTTTATAGCCTGGTCCGCTGCCTGAGAAGGGATACTCATAAAATTGATGCTTTCCTCAAGCTCCTGAGGTGCCGAGAGGTCTTTAAAAATGAGTGTTTTTAAGAATGAGTGCAGACTGCACAACCCTGCAATGTCCTGCTGACATGAGTCTTTTTGAACAAGAACTGTGGTGCTTTTATTTCCTCTCAGTGCATCCATGACTATATGGATCTCTTTTATACAATAAAATCTAATTCTTTAGAAACAACAGATTTAACATGAAATTCAAAGAGTCTTTTGTTTCATTTAATATAATACGGATCCAGGCTTTTGTGATGTGCATGTAAAAATCTGATCTTTGACAAGTGTGGTTGATGTACTGTGCACCCCAATAAAACTTATCTGGGAATCAGAGAGCAGAAC